AAAAATAATAATATTCTATCAGGCAGCTTAAGAAGAAAAAAAGTGTTGAAACATAAATAGTCTAGAAAAGAAATGTATACTTTTTTATAACATAAACAGCAAAAACAAATTAAAAATGTGTTTTTAACATAACAAATTTGCGTGAGTGTGTATGTGTGTGTGTGTGTGTGTACTGATGACAGGAAATTTTCCGCACTGGGTACCATTTGACCTTCCACGCAACTGAGTGTAGCAAGCAATTGGGGCGGGGGGGGGGGGAGAAATGTGAAACAGGCGAGGTGTTTTAACAATCTTTACACGGCATCGGGTGAAGAATATCTTGCAGGTATTAGAGAAAAGAATCTGCGAGGCGAAAACAGATGCCCCGGGAGATGAAAGCATTGTTAACAACAAGAAAAAAGCTGTCAAGGGCAATCAGAACAATAAAGAGCGTTAAAGTGATGTTTAGAATCTATACAGCTGTGTGCATTTGAGGCTTTGGCAATAAGCAAACAAGCTGAGTAACACTTCGAGATATCAGAGGTGTGTCTCACAGCTAGAAGTAAAGCTGCAGCAAAGAATTGGTTGTCTTGGGGGGGGGGGGGGGTGGAGGGAGGGGAGTGGAGAGAAGGGGGCAGGGTTCAAGTTCTCTGTATCTTATTCAGATGCCTAATCTTCTTTTGTGCTCACCGGCTTAAGCTCCGGCGGAAAGTCCTAGTTGTTCGTCCATTTCGACTTTGGCTTTGTGTTAGGGCCTGAGTTTTCCGTCTACGTCCGCTTTACTGGCTCATTTGTGTGCAGGTGGTTGTTCCTTCCTGCTCTGGGAGATGCACTTCGACTTCGAAAGGAGGTCCCCAATTAGTCGACTACTACGGCATGCTTGTTGGGGAGGCAGTGGGTCTATATTTTTGTTATCCTCACAATGGGCCTCCGGAACCCACACGGGGAATATAATTACCGTGTCTTTTCTGGGGTCCTAGTTGTGTTTGTGGGAGGGGGGAATATACTCACTGTCCCCAAGCAAGCATGTCGTAAAAGGTAACTAATTAGGGGTGTTTTCGGCTCTCATTTACACAGATGGTTCTGTAATCCGCCATGTTAGAAGCTCGTGGGCTTTCACGGCACAGTTTAGAGGAAGGGTTGTGAAGGAAGATTCTGGAGGTTTTTCCGTAACTACAAGTAGTCTGACTATGGAGGCATGGATGTGACTAAAGCAGTAACATGGCTAGAGACACAGACTTTTCCTGAGGCATGCTTTCTAGGTGACTCGATGAGTATGCTCAGGAAGATAGAGAAGGGCTGGGTCCAAAGGCAGTGGTTGGTGGCTCTACAGAATTCACGGCTGACAAGGATTAGCTTCATTCCCCCCCCCCCCCCGTGTGGGTTCCGGGGCCCTATTGTGGGGAAAACAAGAATAGACCCACTGCCTCCCCAAAAGCATGTCGTAAGAGTCGACTAACTGGGGAGCTTCCTTTGAAGTCGGAGTGCATCTGCCTGAGAGGCAAGGAACCAGCAGTCTGCATTCAATTGAATCAGATCTGTAAAACTGATGCACATGCAACACTCAGGTTCTGGAGCATGACTGCAGTCCAGAAGTGGACGAACAACCAGAACTTTACGCCAGAGTGTACAGCTGGTGAACACAAAGAAGAAGAAGAATTTTCGTGCCAGGATATGTGGGAGTACAAGGAAATGACCAAGATGATAGGCTTGCAGGTAAGGCTACTGTAAAAGCCGGACAAGCCATGGGGCAGCCTGATATACTGAATGCTCTAAGAGAGTTAAGACGTTTGCGTAAACCAACTGAGAACTGTGAATCTGCAACCATGGTCAGACTGCAAGAACAACATGTTAAACGGGGTATCTCTAAACAAGAACACTACGCGAGTAGCCAAAGAAGAAGAATAAACCAATACAGAACTAGTGTCGTTAGCCGCTACATGCTGCGGAATTTACTGAGGAGGGGATCCTAGCACTTATGGCCTGAGTAGTTCGACGTGCAATGATGATAATCTGTTTACTAAATAACTAACTAACTAGGGGTGTTTCCTTCGAATTCGGAGTGAAAGGCGAGGATGTGCACGTAAAACTCAAGTTCTGGAACAAGATCAAAGTCCAGAAATGGACGAACAACCAGAACTTTCGCCAGAGTTAACAGCCAATGAAAACAAAGAAGAAGAAAATATATAAAATGTAAAATAAATCAGTAAATACTTGAAAATAACGTTCCATACATGATTACATGAGCCACATAGTTTATTTATACATTTTCTCGTAAAAACTAAGACCACACTCTTTCCCTGCCTCCACCCCTCCCCATGTAATTTTGTAAAGGAAGATCTCGATGTCCCTGAGGGCCTGTGCTCCGCCGTCCCTGATTACAATTAACTTCTACAAACAGGAATTCGGTAGTCTATGGAGAAGCGAACTAAACTCAAGTTAATTAGATGAATCAGATTTCCCGAACAGGTCATTTGTGTATGTTAGTAGAAATGACAAACTTCGGTGTCAACTTTCTTTTATTTAAAAACAAAAATTAATGGTTTCTGAGAGACTGGGGATAAAGAAAAAAAAAATTGTCGACAGAAATTTCGAAAATAAGAGATAGATAAGTTATTCGGCTACATTAAAAGATATGTCTCATTATCATTATCATTATCATTATCATTATCATCATCATGAAGCATGTCCTTT